CACTGTGATGGAAAGTAAAGCCCCACTCACACAGCCACTGGGTCACTACAAGGTCAAACCCGCAAAGACTGAAACTTTTTATTCACATACAAAGTTGCATGATGCCCCTTTAAAGAAGACATAATGAGAACAATTTAAACTTACAACCAAATTACAAGTAGGTTTCCTCATCAAAAACAGACCGCAAGTTCTTTGCAGATCATTCCAACAAACATCAAACAAACAGCTTCTGCCTTCTTGGGATCTTGGAAACTTCTACTTGGAAGTGAAAACGCTGTTCAGCAACGACTGCTCCTGACACAGGCCCCGTGCAGTGGCGTTGCAGGATGGGTCTTAAAGGCAGTGGACACATTTTCCTACCGAGTTAAATGAACTCAATGCAAACCTTGACCTGGACGCTCTAAGTTCTGGGAAGTTGGAAGATTACGTAGATATGCCTGAGTTTTCGAGATCCCATGGAAGCAGCATCTGTTCTGTAATAGTACGATTGTAAAGCTGTGACATCATGCTCAGAGAAGTCTGTGTAGCCTGTAATGTTCAAATTCGGATTAAAAAAAAACAAAAACACAAATTCAACTCCTCCCTCTGGTGGTAGCACAGGGAGATGCAGGGGGAGAGCTTTTTATAATTCTTCATACAACTCTAAAACATGAAATTAAAAAAGAGACATAATTTTTAATGAGCAAGGACAATGCATAATATTTTTCTCTAACTTTAAAGTGAAGAGAAAGGAGATGGTAGCCCTTACTGCACAGTTTTGACTCTGCAGATTTACAATATTGTCTTTGATTATCCAAATTTAGAAGCACATGTTGAAGTTGATTGTGGGGTTTTATACTTGTCAGGTTTCACAACCACACTTGACCGTGTGCTGATCTCTACTGTGGCTGTGTGCTAGAGTCGCACTCTTTCTCCTCGCTCAGTTTAGACCAGGAGTGGGCAACCTTTGTCTGTGTGAAAGGTTGTACATAATATATATCCTGCACAGACTATATTTTTTACCTTTAACATGTATTCACACTTCCGTCTTTTACACCTTCTGAGTGATTCTCTCTATACCAAATGTGACATGTAAATTTCTCCAGTGTGAGATCAAGGTTATCTTATATAATATTCAAACACACATACATATTTTCAACTGCACATACATAAAGTATCTACGTATCTATACAAAACTAATGCACAATTAATAAATACCTGGTGTACCTCTCTTTATTAGGAAATGTTGGGCCCAAGGACATTTTTTGAGGTGAAGCCCTCCTCCATGGACACAGTAATAAAAGTAATTGAGTGATGTATAGATGGAGACCACAGACAGTATATAATGGACAGAGCATGGGTTTATTCTCTTTATACAAAGTCATGAACTTCCAGTTACGGCCTTTCAGTTATGGAATCCTGCAGCAATCACAAGCGGCTGAAACTACCTATTGTGGCCACGCCAGATCTGAATCAAATTGATCAAATTGCTGTAGTTTTAGCAGACAGCGGCTTAATGGTTAACAAAAAAACAAATAATCTCTGCAGCATTTACTCACAAGTGGAAATGAGTACTGAGCCCTGAGCTGTATTTGACTCATGGACAGTCTCCATAGAGTTTCACAGTCAGACTGCAAAGAAGGCCCTGGCTTGTTAGTACTGGGCATGTGGCTTTATATTCCAGCTCCAGCCATGGATTTTATTTGTGCCGCGTCGGACAACCAAGGCAAGTATATATGTATATCACAGTACAAAAGATAACTCAAAGTGCTAAACAAAGCCAAAAAAAATCTAAACAAGGCATTAAACCATAAATAACCACAGTACATCAGAAAGTAAAGATGCAGGTCTTTCAAATGTATGCACCGGGATTTGAACATTGTCTGAGTAGAAGCCGGTCTGTTCTAAATTTTAGATGCATGAATCTGAAATGCTTCCTTCCTAAATTTGGATTTTTTGCTGTCTTTTCTAGGTCTACTTTAACTCCAAATGATAACAGTGTAATCCATAATTTGATGTGGCATTTGCTTTTTACTAAATGTTCAAAACCAATGAGCTGTCTTTTCTGCTTACTACTTGCTTGAAAGATAAGTCACTTCTTATTTCCTTCCTAAGGATTTGAACTCATGTCTTTTATTGTATTCATGTGTTTTGTCTCAATTCGAATGACAGCAGCTTGCTTTTGCTTAGGGGCAGATGTTGTCAGGATTAGACTTTAGAAGACCGTCAAGTCAAGTGTTCATTGCAGTCAGGGGAGATTGACTTGGATGTTGTTTAAACCAGTGGGGGTCATCCATGTGGTGTTGGGTTTCTCATTCTCTTATCGCTATGAGTGGATACATGATGGGCAGCCTCAGATGTGTTTAGTCCAGATCTGGAGTTCTTCTCTTCCGAACAGGTTTGATGTGTCTCTGCTATATTTCACCGTAACCAGATCCCTTCACACTTTGTAAACATTGCGGCGTTTTCTTGTGGCCCTGGCTTCACTAGTGGCAGAAAGTGTCCAGCAACTGACGACTGGGAGAGTGTACACTTTCACATCTTCACCGATGAAGAATGTTTGCCCTGAATGGTTCAAAGTAAATTCCGGTAGTAAAGTGTGAGCACCACCTAAACCACAATTGTCTGTTTTTCTGAGAAGGGAAAAGGGAATACAATAAGTTGAGGCCCAGATTGCATTCATCCTAAAAAAATAAAACTTTCATAGAACTGTAAATGGTATGGCCTTAGAGACTGTTACAGGCCTATGTCACCTCACCTGCACTATACAAGTGTGTATAGAGTACAGCTAATTTAAAAACTGTCAGAAATTACGCTGATGAAGCAGAGTCTCGAACACAATTACTTATTACATAATCACTGGTTGACTCAATCAAAACTGAGGCAATATTAGGTTTATATAGTGATTGGGAGCGGAGTAAATTTGATTCCTTAAAGCTGGGGTCATGAAAGGACGTATTAAAGCTACATTTTCTCATCCAAGTCTCAGCAGAAAGAGGCCTGCAAAAGTAGAATGCTGTGAACAAATAAGACCACAGTATAACATTTTAACTTTTGTTTATTTAAAAAGAGTCTTTTTAAGCAACAGGGCCACTTTAGTTCATCAGACTTGACCTGGGGCCGACCACCTTGATTTAAAAAAACTGGATTCGAGCTGGATTAACTGGATTCTGGAATATAAAATGGGTTCTGATACATCCTTATTGAGTCACACAACAGCTGCATTTTATTTGGAAAGTTGTAACAATAAAGTCAACAAATGGATTCCAGTGGGTCTGAGATTCACAACAAGGTATAGCGTGACTGTATTGGTGGAGCTGAAGTTGGTTTGATGACACTGTCAAAGTGCCTCAATGGCAAGTTGGTGTTGGCAGAAGAGGGCCACATACAATGGCACAGACGGCCGCAACTGGCCCACGGGCCTGAGTTTAGACATGCCTGCTTTAGGCTAAGGGCTGACGGTTGAGAAAGGATGTTCCTTTCCTTTTTCTGACTGAAAAAGACCAAAAATATATGAATGTGAAATAAACTGTTTTAAGCCTGCTTCATATTTCACAAGGGAGACTTATCAAATACTGAAAAGGAAATTAGGAAATGCAAGAATAGAATATCACATGATATGACTTTTATGCAAACTGTTTGAAATGTAGCCCAAAATATCAATAATCGTGGAAAAGATTACCTCAAAATCAGGGGACAAACAACTTCACAAATCAGCCTGTGTCAACCAGTTTTCCATAACACTGGAAACACATTTTTTACACAAGACCCTGTGGGTTATATGGTCTGATAGTCAATATGGATTTAGAAGAACTAGAAATCCACTTGCTTTATTTGACTAAAAATCAAGAATGTTACAAATTACATGAACATTCAATTGAACCATAGATCATCATAGTCAGATGGACGGCTATGACCTGATAAGAGCCATTTCAGTGAGACAGATTGTAGATCGAGTAAACCAAATCCAAATTTCAGGTTATTAATTGAGGGGTTAATTTTAAGACTAAATTCATACTATTTCTGATGAGTTTGGTATCAGATGACTTTTTTGAGAAACTTTTGGTCCAAATGGTCGAGTGTTAAGACATAATCTCAAAAATAAGGTTAAGTGTTGGTTTAAAATACTCACATGTGGTTAAGTCTTTATTCAAAGATATTTGTTATAAAATTGTGTCAAACTTGATACAACGCGGCTGAATACACTACTGTAACTCTGTATTGCCCTTTAAAACAGTAATTTGCTGCATTTTTTGATAAATGTTTATTACATTGTACTGTGACTTGGGACTGTTGTCGGTGACTTGCTATTGAACTGTTTTTCAATATGTATGCGGGAAACTTGCACCTTTTATTGAACAGTATTTAAGTTACTTGCATTTTTTATTTGCACATGACGGGACCTGGTGTCAGCTTGTAAACTTCCACAGTACTTAAGTTTCCAGCACTGGTCAAATGTAATCATCTGGTGAACAATGACCTGTAAGACACCTTCAGGAAATGACACAACAGAAGTAATTGTCAAGTATAAAAACAACTTTATTTACAAAACAGACCACTGCCTCGATCCATGGAGCCCGAGACTGTGACCAAGTGGCTCAGCTGTGATTGAGGTTGGGAATTTTCAGCGCCGAGAAGAACACCACCCAAACACAAATCTCCAGTGTCCTTCCACCCACTTATTTAGTCTGAGCTCTGACACTGGACCACAGAATGAGACCAGGACTGGGGCACTGTTGGGCTTCTGTTGTGGTTTGCATCAGAGCAGTTCAAGAAGTGTTCTGCTAAAACACATTTCAAAAACGTCGACAAGATGCAGGACATAAAAATCATGATTTTTCTCTTAACATTTTTGACAAATAGCGTGGTAAATTGTCTGTCCTTCTATGGTAAAGGTAAATTAAAAGACCGACATACTTTCAACAGCACAAAAAAACAACCGCTATTGCCTGAAAAAACACCCATGTTGTCCATAAATCAGTATTTTTCCAGGAACACTTGTCAGGTCAAAGTAGTGCCTTTTAGAAAGCATAGCGTGTACGAATGTCCTCGAGCTTCTTGGAGACCTCGGGTGGGGTTCTGTCCAGCTCCTCGGCCACACTCTTCTGTTTATGAGGATCCATGCTGTTGAACTGCTCACACAGATCACCATCAATCACATTCTGCAAACAAAAATAATGATTACAACATCAGGATAACATCCAGTAAGGATTATAATAATACGGTGTGAACTCAACTCATTGCAAACAAGAATCGTTAATGGTCCAAACTAAAACTATGAATACCAAAATACCTAAATCAATGTCATAACTAAAGAAAATCTGGTAGACTTTTGGAATCTATATTTTTTTTAAATCATATAATCCATCTAACTGGTTCCTTGCTCTCATGTTCAATTTCGTCAATAGTTTTTGCATGCATTTATCTTTTAGCCTCTGTCACATACTTAACCTCTTAAGGCGCGTTCAGACCAAAAGCTTCAAAAAGCTTTTGACGCGCTTCACCTGACGCCGGGATAGTTTTGTCATTTTGGTGGTTGAAGCTTTTGACGCGAGTGACGCGCCTGACGCCGGTGGGAGGAGCTTCTCTGTTGTCTGTAGTCAGGACAGCGGTGGATTTTTCAATGAGCAGCGAGCCTTTATTTGTTATATAAAGCAAAATAACGTTGTTGTAGGGCTTCAACAAAACATGTTCTGGGTTCACCACAGACTTGAGAGGCTGCAGTGTTTGCAGAGTTCCGTCATTTACTCCAGGAGCTGCGTACGGAGGAGTTTCGCTTTCAGCGGTACTTCCGCATGTCACTCAGCCAGTCTGAGTTCTCAAACCCCGGAGCTCGCCTCTCCCCGGCTCTCGCTCGCCTCTCCCTGCCTCTCCCCGGCTCTCCCCGCCTCTCTCTCGCCTCTCCCCTGCCTCTCCCTGCCTCTCCCCGGCTCTCACTCGCCTCTCCCTGCCTCTCTCTCGCCTCTCCCCTGCCTCTCCCTGCCTCTCCCCGGCTCTCTCCCGCCTCTCGCTCGCCTCTCCCTGCCTCTCCCCGGCTCTCGCCCGCCTGGAGCTGCCTTGCTCTGAGCCAGACTCATCGTCAGCCTGTTCTTATTTTAAATAAACTACGTTTACTACACAGCATGTGTACAATGATTTTGTTACTCAGAATGTTACTACTCATACAAATAATATTACTAATAACAATAATGACAATAAAACAGCAGCAGCAGATACATGACTTCTCTTCATGACAGAGACAGACCCTCTGCTGCTGCTGCTCCTCGTCTCCTGATTGGTTGAAGCCCGCGTCAAAGCTTCAAAAGCTCAGCTTTGCTCAGCTTCGGCTTCAGAGGGATTGTTGTGATACGCGAGCGTTTCGCGCGTCAAAAGCTTCAAGTGAGCGCGTAGTACGCGCGACTCTTGAAGCTTTTGACGCGCGTCAAGTGACGCCGGGGCTCTCGGCTTCACCTGACGCGCTTCACCATTCACTTTCAATGGAAACCTGACGCTTTTGACGCCGAAGTTAAGTCCGGTGTGAACGCCCCTTTAAGCTCCTATTTCTGTTTTGGCTCGTGCACAAAAGTTCGGCATACCCAAATGTCTTTATTTAAAAACACATCTTACATCTCACATGCGTGTATGATGCATAATTTGAAGATAGGCCCTTCTAGCTTGTGTAAATACACTGAAATAATGCATGTCATTCTTATATCCTTTGAAGTTTGGGGAAAAAACCTTTTTTCGCCTAAAAATGTAAGTAAGTAAGTAATCATCTATATACCGCCTTTTCACTACAGATCTGAGTCTCAAAGCGGTTTTACAATTGTTAATTTTTGGGCATTTGTCTCCCACTCCACAGAGATGGGAGCTGGGTCACCAGTACAGGAGGCGCATGCCAGACCTATTGTACATATTTTTAGCGGTAGGGGAAACCGGAGTACCCGGAGGAAACCTACGCAGACACGGGGAGAACATGCAAACTCCACTCAGAAAGGCCCTGGTCCGACCGGGATTCAAACCCAGGACCTTCTTGCTGAGAGGCGAGAGTGCTATCCACTCAGCCATCGTGCCATGTAATGCAATGTATAAATGCCCTAAAAAAGCCTACTTCATTGGAAGAAGAATATTTTCAAAGCCAATTTGTTCATTGTGTTGTTGACAACAACTGTGTAAAGTTTCAGACTTCTAAGTTTTATAGTTTTTATGCAGTTTCTCTTGTTTATCAAGTAGTGCCATTCGGAACCAATTTGGCAAAATTTGTGCCAAATTGTGCCAAACTGCTTTACTAACATTTCACCATCATAAAAAGCATATTTCTTAGTTTTGGTACTTATAAGTTACAAATCTGTGTGATTTTCTTTCACATTTTTTCAAAATGAATTTTTTAGTAGTGTAAATGCATATAGAATATGAGCAGCAGTACTAACAGCGTCTTTACGCACGCTTTTACTGTGAAATATAAAAAAGTGGTTCCTATAAGTCCAACCCATCAATAGAAAGCTCTTTTTATTGGCTACTTAGACACGTCAATCATTCAGTGCTAGCACATTACGCTAGCCGTGTAATCCACAACGGACCCTGTGCAAATGGATGCGGTTTGTCTTTTTCACAAGGGTCCTGCGGACTGAAAACTGCTCATATCATTGAACCTTTCTTTTTGAAGCTAAGGAGTCAAGGAACACGTAGATATGTTTGTGGGGGTAAACAAAGCTCAAACTTGGTGAAATGTGAAAGAAGTCTGAACCTCTTTCGGAGCGTTTTTTTTTTGGCAACAGAAAAATGCACATTTTTGGATTATTTCTGAAGAATGGATTATATTCTGGGAAATACAAGTGGATATTCTTTTTCAATGAAGACTTACGGAGAGAAAGAGACTAAGCAAGGATGGGGAAAGTCTAATTTGTTGGAGCAGCAGAAGACGAAAGGTAAAAAACTTATACAAACGTGATTTATTTTATGCCCATATTATGCGTTATATCTTTTTAAAGTCTGATATCGTTTACAATTACATATAAATATAGCTGAGAAAATAAGCTTTAAAATGATATATAGCTTGTGGCTTATGAAGTTCAAAATACATCGGCTATTGCCAGCGGATGTATTTTTTTTACAGCCGGCGGGGGCTAGCGAGCTATCAGATTTTTCAGACAGAAAAGGTAAGTTGTTCTCTTTTTCAATCTGCTCAAAGCCCGATTCCTAAAAATTCTGTCTCATATGTTTTTTCTTCTTTTTTTTAAGTTAGGTGCCCCAACTTAAAATGGATGTCAGAGGCACATCAGTGTTAAAATGACCCACCTTTACAGGGAAATAATAGGACCTAAAGCTGAGGTGATCTCTGCCACAATTTGGGGGAAACTCTGAGCGCATGTGCATCTCGAGGTGCTGGAAGAAGTCGTGATCCTGGAAGTAAAAAAAATGAAAACCAAATTTTGTTGGGTGTGATTTTACAGCAAGAAATTTTTCAGCCGTAGCGTTATACCTCATGTGACGTGAACGGCACCAAAATACCAATGCCTCCTGACAGCGTGGTGTAGACGAGCGACTCTGAGCCTCCGGGAATCAGGGTGGTCTTTTGGAGCGACAACACGGTCTCTCCGACATGGTAATTGACGATTACATCAGCCTATACATTAAAAAACACTGTACATTAGAACACCTGGGACTTTTATTTAGAAACTATTGACCCCTTGCATGTGACGTCACGGCCACGCCCACTCTCCATGACAGACGGCAGAAGTCTAACTGCGAGCCTACGGACACCTGACCAAAACAACCTGTTTCAGCGCATTACAGCCACAACTGTGACATTTTGCAGTGCGGTTGATTATACCAACAGGCACGGACATAAGCTTATTTATCTGATACCTGCTCGTCATGAAGACTGAAGACTACGATGGCCAGCGGCAATCAACCAAAAGGACTGGGACCTACTACTGTCCTGTATGTGCGCTGCAACATTGGACCTTTTTATCTTTTAAGTCAATTGCGTGTTTCACTATTTTCCTCTCCGTCAGTACGTATCATGCAACAGAAAAGCCACAGAAAAGTGGACTATTGCTAATGCTACCAGCAAAATGTACATATAAATCTGCTCAAGTGTGAGGGGATGCATTGTTAACGATAATGATAAAGATCATGTAGGGTGAATTTGGGCAAAAATAGACATTTCATTTAATCGATAAAATTGACTGGATGACGGGTCAACATCCAGTTAGGCAATCATTAACTTCTCCAAATACCACTCTTTGTGAGCCCTGACTTGATGTCCTACTTCCACCTGTAACGTAATCGAACATGTGCTTGAAGCAGCCACTTCTCGATTTAGGAGAGGAAGCTCCGTTTTGCTCTCGCTGCAATGCTAGTTTCCAATACTTCCGCCGTAAGCTCATTCACAATCATGTGACTGGATGACGTTGATGCATCTGGTCAATAGGCAGCAAACTAGCGGCCATTTGGAGTAGCTTACATACATGGATTTATACATTTGACCAATCGTATTAGCAACATGTCAAATGAGCGGTTTGAAACAGTCATTAGACAAAAGAATCACATTAAGTATTTTGAGAATAACTCGTCACTTCAGTAAAAACCAGAGGCAAAACATGCAAACTGTGCAATGTGGTGACCAACAGTTTGTGGGCGTCGTTATGGATAAGAAGTTTGTTTTTTAAAAGCAGAGGGGATTTTGCCAATGAGGTGTCAAGAACATGACTGGTGTTTCATTGTAGGTATACAAAAAAAAAAACTGTTGAGAAACAAAGGTGCATTCCTCAACGGTCGTGGTTGTGGATTGCTTTTACTTGGGTTCACCTAAATATGGCTTTTCCAAGATATCTAAACATTTCATCATTAACTTTAACCTTTACATTAGAAACAAGCAACTTGTAACACTGTTAAGTTACAAGTTACGTCTGTGAAGAGGCGAGTCTTCTGGGATTGAAGCTTATGCAGCAAGTGCTAACCAGAAATGTGTAAACAATGTTTTCTTTTTGAACAAATATGCCATATTGAGTGACGCTAGTAACAAAATTGATTATTGCGAAGGTTAGGGCTTACTTCTATTTATAGCTATTGATATATTAGATTGATCGAATTTATAGTTTCCATTTGACCTACTGGATATTCTCCTTTGTCTTTGATATCCATTTTTTATGACAACGGAAATGAAATTATGTGTTCAATATGATCCATGTCATTCAGTATCTGCTCATCCATGTTACATCATGTAACACATGGCTCAGTACAGCAGGTTCCATAAAGCTTTATGCTGCAGCTCACATGATGCAAACGTTTACATTAGTTCTGATTGGGCCAGCGTACAGTGCTTGAACCTTTCAACATTTCGCCACATTTCAGGCTTCAAACATAAAGATATAAAATTTTAATTTTTTGTCATGAATCAACAACAAGTGGGACACAATCTTGAAGTGGAACAAAATTTATTGGATAATTTCAACTTTTTAACAAATAAAAAACTGAAAAGTGGGGTGTGCAATATAATTCGGCCCCTTTACTTTCAGTGCAGCAAACTAACTCCAGAAGTTCAGTGAGGATCTTTGAATGATCCAATGTTGTCCTAAATGACTGATGATGATAAATAGAATGCACCTGTGTGTGATCAAGTCTCTGTATAAATGCACCTGCTCTTTGATAGTCTCAGGGTTCTGTTTAAAGCACAGAGAGAACCATGAAGTCAAAGGAACACCCCAGGCAGGTCCGAGATACTGTTGTGGAGAAGTTTAAAGCCGGATTTGGATACAAAAAGATTTGGAAGGAGTATCAGACCACTGCAAATCTACCAAGACCCGGCCGTCCCTCCAAACTTTCATCTCAAACAAGGAGAAGACTGATCCGAGATGCAGCCAAGAGGCCCATGATCACTCTGGATGAACTGCAGATAACTACAGCTGAGGTGGGAGAGTCTGTCCATAGGACAACAATCAGTCGTGCACTGCACAAATCTGGCCTTTATGGAAGAGTGGCAAGAAGAAAGCCATTTCTCTTTTTGGCCACAATGCAAAACGATATGTTTGGCGTAAAAGCAACACAGCTCATCACCCTGAACACACCATCCCCACGTCAAACATGGTGGTGGCAGCATCATGGTTTGGGCCTGCTTTTCTTCAGCAGGGACAGGGAAGATGGCTAAAATTGATGGGAAGATGGATGGAGCCAAATACAGGACCATTCTGGAAGAAAACCTGTTGGAGTCTACAAAAGACCTGAGACTGGGACGGAGATTTATCTTCCAACAGGACAATGATCCAAAACAAAGCCAAATCTACAATGGAATGGTTCACAAATAGACGTATCCAGGTGTTAGAATGGCCAAGTCAAAGTCCAGTTCACTGAGCTCGAGCTGTTTTGCAAGGAAGAATGGGCAAGAATTCCATTCTCTCGATGTGCAAAACTGATAAGAGACATACCCCAAGCGACTTGCAGCTGTAATTGCAGCAAAAGGTGGCGCTACAAAGTATTAGCGCAAGGAGGCCGAATAATATTGCACGCCCCACTTTTCAGTTTTTTATTTGTTAAAGAAGTTTAAATTATCCAATACATTTTCCTTCCACTTCACGATTGTGTCCCACTTGTTGTTGAATCTTGACAAACAATTTTTTTTTTTAAATATCTTTATGTTTGAAGCCTGAAATGTGGCAAAACGCATACTTTCGCAAGGCACTGTATGTAGCTCCAGCGCTGTGAACTTTCCTTCATACACGTACCACATCTCCATGTGGAACAGTCATGACACAGCTTTCTAGGTCAGAAAACCGAACCGCGCTATGGTATGCCAGAGCGTGCCTATTACATATGCTGCTCTGTGGAAGATGACCATGTGCATCATATCTTCATTTATACTGGCTCTAAAAAAAAAAAACCTTTGTAATAATTTTAAAAAAGACAATCGAACTCTTGTTTGACTTACGTGACCCGGATCATTGAGATGCACATCAAATTAGAAGCATACCACTTTAATTAAATTAATTCAACAAACTACATTTAAGGAGCCACTGCTTAACTTTATCTACAGACCAAGACTACCTTGTTAGTCCCACTTTATGGTCGGACTTACAATTCACGTTTTTTTCTGGAGTAGCAACATATTCATGTGTTGAACATCAAAACCCACAGGCAGTGTCTAAAGTGGAGGTACTTTCCCAGCTGATGTGCTACCTAAACAATATTTGAACCAGAATTGAATTTGTGGAATGTTTGATGCTGCCAGCGGAGGTTAAAATTGTGGTCTTCAGTGCTGTGCAGCTGTGGCTGTGTGTTGCATTTGTGTAAATTGGTGGTTGGAGGTTAGTGGAGGCAGCAGATTAGTGCTGGTGGACAGGCTCAAGTTATGGCAGTGGCTCTGAGGGTATGACGATGCTTGTAGGAAAAACAATCTTAACTAAGTCATGAGCTTTTTGAAAAATGTAAGCAAACAGCGGACAGAAAATGTGCTCAGAAGAAACAACCAAATAATAAATAAATATATATATGTATACCTTCTGGGAAGCGCCATTAAGAAGACCTCTGTCCCATAAGGCTTTGTTGCCTGTGGGGTCTTCATCTACATCGTCACTTGTATTTGGAGGAAGCCTAACCTGGAAGCAGATGTCAAGATCATCGCAATTGAGATTATTCAGAAAATAATAAATCAAAACATTTTTGTTCAAGTTTAAATGACATGAATCAGTAAACCTTTACGACCAAAAGTATGTTCTGAGGTGAAAAAGATTATCGTATCAGGCATTTCTGCGTTGAGGATCTGCGTGTTGTTTATATTATACATTTTATTACGAGGCACCGCAGCAACTGTCAACTCAAACTGAACAAAGAAACAAGTGCATTTCTTGGCAAACACAAGGCATATGTCTAATCCTATACATGCCTTACATACATAATTGAGGACAGAGCAGCTACAAATTGCACATGCCACTGGCAACTCTACCCTGAGGATCTGCAGCTCTGTACAAAGAGATCAGGTGCATGTTTGTCTAACCTCTATCACTTCTATGAAATTAATACCATGAAGCAAAGGGAGATACAATATCACATTCTCACACGCAGCTGAAACACAGAAGACATATGGAGGAACGGATATTATTAGAAAGAGTGGGCCCAAAAATCTGGAGGCCGGATTGACTTGAGTAACTATAATGACGGAACTCACAATGCTGATGTTTCCAAACTTGTCTGCGGAGGCCATGGTGTCGTAGTCCAGCAGGCAAGCTGTGGTGACCCATCGCGGGTACGTGTCGTCCGCAAATATGATGAGCTGGTTTTCATTGCGTCTGTAGCGAACCCAGAACAGGCTCTCCTGGACGTCCGACACAATGACGCGCTGGCCGATGGTATAGATGCCCGTCACCAGAGTAGGCACGTGCTGAAGAGTAGAAAGCATTCTTATTTGACAAGTATGGTTTTAGACCCCAATGGAGTAGCTCGAGGGAAATTACCTAATTCACTTGGGCAACAATTTGTATTAATGGGTTATGATGACATGTCAAAGACAATTCAAATCCATTTTTCTCACTTATGTCTAATCCAGTTGCTGTTGTTGACAACAAACGGTGAACTGAACTAGGGATGTAAATCGGTGACCGTTTAACCGGTGGTTGACCGTCACAGCGTTAACCGGTCAAAGCTGTCGGTTAAAAAAAATGAAAAGGGGGAGGAGGAGGTCTCTTAACGCTATTTTAAGCCCTATTTGCACGGTGTGGCGAGCGGGTCTGTCTCTAGTAGGGGTGGGAACCTAAGGGTACCTGACGATACGATACACCATACAAAGCTCACGATAACAATATTACGATAACGATTTTATCACGATATGACGATTATTGATTAAGGTCAGAAATATACAATATGCCAATTCATGGCATAAATAAAAGAAAAGAAAAAAACTCTATTTCATGATAAATAGAATGGAGATGCGTAATGTAACCATATATTAAGTATTGATACCAACAACAACAAAAAATGTAAAATAACAATTTTTTTTTTCAAAATTGATATTGATACTTGGCAAATGCATATTGATAATCGAATCGCAGGAGAAAGTATCGCGATATATCGAAAGTATCGGTGGTCGGTCATGAAAATTCATAGTTTACATCCCTAAACTGAACCACTCAGTAAGATTATACTACTTTAGATCAATATTACAGTATGTAACATGGTGGAGAGCAGCTTTGATGTAAATAAAGACTCAACAAATGCAGAGCGCCTCACCTTATTCTCACATTTCCTTAACAGCTTCTTTTTCCCCAGATCATAGATTCGAAGAAGCTTCCCAACTCCAACTAGGATACGCCCTTGGAAAGGAGCAATGGCCAGAGGCACATCTTCAACAGGGGTCTGTCACAACATAAAAAGGAATGGTTAAGTGTTCAATTAAATGTGATTTTTTATCATGTCACAATTTCCCATTTCTACATTCTGAAACCAGAATACATTTGTTTTTACAATAAGCCATTGTAAGCTGTGCCAATATGGGGCAAAAATATAGATTGAAGTTGAGAAAATTAGAATCCATTTGATAACCCCAAGTGGTTATTTCCAAGTTAAAAGGTACACTGTGTGATATTTAGTGCCATCTAGCGTTGAGTACTCTTATATTGCAGTCTATTAAAGTACGGAAGCCTTTGAGTTGAGGAGCACTGTCAAAGACAGAGCCCCTCAACTCTCAGTCATTCATCAGACTGCCAAGGAAAGAATACTAGTTTGATAAATGACCGGATCTTTCCAAACGTCTCAGGCACTTGACAGTCATGTGGAGGAGTGGATGTAAACAAGACTGTGTTCAGACATGGCACCCTGCACAGAGGCTGCACTGAGTTTTACCATGGATCTATTATATATAGTTTTACAAACGTGGTGTGAAGAGAAGAGACACATGGAGGAATAATGTCTGTCGGAGCTTAAAACTACGATGATCAAAGAAGCAGGAGATATACAGAGCCACGGCAGTACATGGCTAAAAGCTCATGTTAGCATTAGCATTAGCCACAGCGCCCTATCTGCATCACGGCAAGAAAAACAGAACATTCACTCACGCTGCTGATAAAGTATTCTGGCGACTGTTTTGTTGGGATTCTGTGTGTTTTATATTTGAGGCTTTTTCCCTGAATAAGTTTAGTTGAAACTTGTGACATAGTAGTTGGACTGCGCTCGGATCGGGTCAGAACATCCCGAGATTGTGTTGCAGAGTCTGCCTCGTTCTCATTATTGTCAGTGTGAAAAAGTTACGTATTGTTCAGGTGTGAGTCTGTTGTGGACAAACTACACAATGTGCCTCCTGTTAACGCTGTCTTTGTGCGTGTGGTTTGCGATGTTGACACTTTGTTGCTATGACGCTAGGACTTCTGCATTATTATTTTTCTAAGAGATTGTTGTGCGGATTGTTGTTTTACATAATTGTGGTCCTCCATGGTTCTTTTACATAACTGTGGTCCTCCATGGTTCTTTTATATAACTGTGGTCCTCCATGGTTCCTTCTTCCAACTTGTGAGGGCACAGTGAAAGTAAAGATATCAGTAGCTCATGTGAAACAAAAACGCGATTCTCGCATCCTTTTTGTCCCTTATCCACCACCGGTTTTCAAGATGGTGAATATTCACTGATGGACACTTATAAGTTAATTTCTAAGCCTTTGAATACAGTTCAAAAAACATGGTGGAAGTAAATATTCTTAAAAAGGTCATATTTGTTATTAGTTAACATGTTTTTGCATATGGAGCAGCTGTAAAAATTACACAGGGTGGCTTTAAAGTATCTTGCGTGGCCAAAGTGGTTGGGGAATTCCACTAATGGGAAAACAAGTGTGTGACCAAATGCTGAGCAACACCATGACTCACTTCCTTTACAGAATCAGGTAACGCACATGTGGGCTGCTTCACCCCAATGGCTTCGACCCAGGCTCAGGTTTCTAGGGAATTGCTTGGCATGTAACATCTGCATATGGAGTCATTAAAATATATCTTCAGGCCGTTGGGGCCTTTCCTCAAAGACTTATCTTGGCATGGGTTAAAGTTGAAAAAATTCCTGAGCCTGAACCATCTATATGAATCATAGAATGATCACTAATAAGCGTTTTTTATAAGCGCCTTTATACGCTCATACATATAATTTATATCTATTTATTGCCAACAACTGATGTTTATTATAAACATCAGTTGTTGGCAATAAATACATCATCTGACTATTGAATTGTTACTTAAATGTAAAGCCTCACCTTGCCAAGACCTTTCTGCAAGTACCCCTAGTTTGGATTTGTGTGATAATGTAAAAAAAAAAAAAAAACATACCACATCACAGAAAGTGAATATACTATTTTCTTTTTTTTAATTATTATTGATGTTATTACTAACATTTTATGTGTAAACTGTAAACTGATTAAACATCCAAACTAGACATCAGATATGACATACAAAAACTAAAAACACTGGATCAGGCAACAAGAACACTTCCAGATTCAACCTTAAATATATAAATAAACCTTAACTTTTAAATTCTACTTATTAAACATTTAGCTTTCAACACAAATAAATGAAACTAAAGTGCAAATGAGCTTTGTGCTGTGTGTCTTCATAAAGCACCTGTGTTAACTTTCAATAGACTTTGATTTGGTAAAACATTACAAAACAACACAAATGCTAACAGTACTGTTTGAAATATTCATTTCTTTTTCTTTTGTTTAGGGTGTGAATTATCTGTATGCTTTCTTTTTAACATGTTGGGCGGAGGGTTTAATGAGGAGGCTACTTTGTCTGAACAATTAAATAGAGGGAAAAAACCGCATGGTCCAGAGGAGGAAGCAGCTGGTGCAGAGGAGAGTTGTCTGGCTGGTCCAGAGGAGGAGGCAGCTGGTGCAGAGGAGAGTTGTCTGGCTGGTCCAGAGGAGGAGGCAGCTGGTGCAGAGGAGAGTTGTCTGGCTGGTCCAGAGGAGGTGGGCAGCTGGTGCAGAGGAGGAGGCAGCTGGTGCAGAGGAGAGTTGTCTGGCTGGTCAGAGAGGAGGAGGCAGCTGGTGGGGAGAGGAGGAGGCAGCTGGTGCAGAGGAGAGTTGTCTGGCTGGTCCAGAGGAGGAGGCAGCTGGTGCAGAGGAGAGTTGTCTGGCTGGTCCAGAGGAGGAGGCAGCTGGTGCAGAGGAGAGTTGTCTGGCTGGTGCGGTGGGGCTGCAGCCTTTTGACCACCAGACAATCCTCTCTCCTCCTCTGGACCAGCCAGACACTGCCTCTCCTCTGCACCAGCTGCCTCCTCCTCTGGACCAGCCAGACAACTCTCCTCTGCCTCCTCCTCTGCACCAGCTGCCTCCTCCTCTGGACCAGCCAGACAACTCTCCTCTGCACCAGCTGCCTCCTCCTCTGGACCAGCCAGACAACTCTCCTCTGCACCAGCTGGCCTCCTCCTCTGGACCAGCCAGACAACTCTCCTCTGCACCAGCTGCTTCCTCCTCTGGACCATGCGGTTTTTTCCCTCTATTTAATTGTTCAGACAAAGTAGCCTCCTCATTAAACCCTCCGCCCAAAATGTTAAAAAGGACATTCAAAATTCTGTCCACATTTGTTTGTGGACACTCAATGTTTAAGAAAAAGGTTTCCCTATCAACTTGGTGCTAGTGCACAGCGCAGTTTTATCAACTGCAAATGATTAATGATAATTAAATCTACCAGCGGTAGTGATGGTTCTGAACGACAGGTTATTTTCTGCGATAAAGCCACAGATAGTTTTAGGTCACAGACACAGTCCACCAGAGCAAGCCTAGTCTCAGTTGTCGCTGAATTTGATGCACCAGGTAAAGAAGTGTGGGAAAGTGCACGGACAGCTGCCAAGTGCGCAGTTTTGAGCTGGTGGTGAATCCAAAGCTGTTTTCTCATTACTCCCATATAAAAAAATAATAATAGCGAAGTACGAACAAGCACCGGACACCTTCATCTTTTTGCACCATGAAGCAACAGAATCCCATCGTCTCCACCTCATCCAGCCATGCCCACCTCCATTTATTTTTCACTCCGTTATCAACAGCAACTTATACAGCTCCTTCTTCCATAAACAACGATCCATGATTGTGATTGTGCGTGAATGCTAGGCTAGCTTTGATGAATGAATATAAGACCTGCTAACACACACCTTTCTTCTGCGAGTTTCTTCCGTTCGCTCGTTGATTTGCTTTTTTATCACGCAGTTTTGCATGCGGGATCGCCACCAAGATATTATCAAAAGCTCACCAAGACATGCTTGTCCCCATTCCCAGTCACAGCAAAGTACATATTGTACATTCCGTTAAATAAAAAAGCATTGCGTTTGGTAAACGTTAATTATGTCCTACCTTTCCTCTGATAACGCGCCCAGTTTACCGGTCCGCGGGCTGCTGGCTGTTATTGCTCCGTTCGGGATTACATTTTCCTTGTCCTCTTCTCCTTTTCAAAAGCTCCGTGCACTTTTCAGAAACTTTCACCTCCGTGTTACCATCGCTAACTTGGCTACGTCCCATTGCCTTGAATCATTTACGGAGCGCTCATGTAGCTAGCCACGGCACGTTCAAGGCCCACTCGTGATTATATTACTTTTTATTTCTATATACATATAAATACAATTATATTCAAATTATTAATATATATCTAGATATATACAACAGATTCACACGTATTACTATATATTTTGTTATAATTAACCATTTCATTGTGTGTATTATATTATTATTATATATTTTGTTTTTTTTTCAGACCAATTTCATTTGACGGAAATCCGTCACTTAGACGGAACTCTTTAATCCCTGCGCTATACACATGCAATCCTTTCATACAATTGGTAGAACACACTTGAACCTTTTTCAAATGACAGCAATCATTATTTATTTATATATATATAAAAAAAAAAAAAAAAGTGATTTTTTTTTTTTTTTTTCTCACGCCGGATTTCCGGCACGGTGCCGGAAAACTTTAAGCCCTGATATCCAGTCAAGAACTTCATATCTATAGATTTCTTCAGAACTCCTTCTCTGTCGCCTTCAGCAGCTGCTCGGATTACCTACAAACACAAATAGAAAAGTATTCTTAGCTTTTATCCAACTGTATAAAAGTCGTCCTGTAAATAACCCCTGCGATCAAAGAAGTGAGTGATATTGTTTGTACCTCAATGTAGACATCCGTGAAACTCTGATCAAATCCTCTTGTTGCACCGAAGTCCAACAGCGCCACCTGATGGACCACATGAAATATGTAAGCATATTCTTTAATCCTTTTAAAACCTCAGTGCTCCTTACCCTGTGTGTTTGTGGGTCATAAAAGAAGTTGGACCAGTTTGGGTCGGTTTGCATGTAGCGGAACTCAAAGAGCTCTCTGAGACACAACATCAAGATATTCTGACAGATCTAAAAAACAGAAAAAGACAAAAAAGAACTATTTAATTTTCATGATGTACCTTTTTCAGAAAGACAAAAGAAAAATAATACTGACATAATTATCATTATTATCTTATTCTTGCTGCATACTCCTAGATTGTATATTGACAACTAATGTATGGAACTAGTCCATACAGTTGACACTAGACTGTATGTTTGTGAAGGTTGGTCTTGAATTGATAAA